AGCAAACCGGTTTTCATGGCAAATCTTCCTCAAACATCTCTCAGATCTTGGTGAAAATATTCTCTTCAGTCCATATGTGTTCTTCCTTCGTAGGGATAATTCTTCACCAAGGACAATTTTTTTTCTTAATTCGCCGAATAGATGTTTCGGATACGTTCAACCTTCGAGATAACTCGTGATTTGAATAATTTTCTGAGTCGACAAAAGCTTTCACTGCTGCGATCACTGCTGAGACAAATCACTTGCCTTTCCCATTATTTTTATTCAAAACTATCAGTTTTTCGTAGACAACAATTCACAATTTTTAAATAAACACGGCTGTACCTATTTCACAAACTAATAAATGGAAAATAAACCATCTTCATGCAACAACACACTACTCATGTCACCTCTTGTTCTACTCAACCCTTGTAATTTGTGCGTCTAAGCAACAATGAGGTGTCACAACAATGGTACATAATGACAAATAATGTGTTAATTATTAGAAAAAGAAGCTTTGTTTTTATTGATTGATTCGCAACAACACCAGATGTAATGTACTGCAGTGAGAGACTTCAAAACTTAACATTTTGTTAAAAATTTGGAGTGCGTCTAATAATTTGGCCAGGGACTGTATGTAGTGCCCAGACTTATAAATCACACCTGACATTTTACCAGATGTGTTAATATATACAGTTGTGAATACACAACTGGTGTTGCAAGCAAGTCACAAATTCCTAGATTCAAGTCTCAGCAGAGGGATGTTTTTAAGACAAGCTAAGCAGATGAATCTACTTAAATGAGAATTTTGGAGGACAGTGTTATTATGATTGGTCATTTCTGTGGTTCCGTTTACTAATCTATTCTTAGCAGATGTCAAGAGTATTACCTTACACAACAGGTCACAGACAGCATACAAGCCTTTTTCCCCCCACTCGTACCCACTCTTCTAAGGCCAATGTGACAAGGCTGACACCCTACCTAATGCTTATCCCTCACAATCCAGGAAGACTGCAAGTTTGCAGACACCAAGCCAAGGTTTGAATTGAGCTGTTGCATTATAAGAAGAACAAGAACGAGAATATTTAAGGAAATATTGAATAGTCCGGGGTTTCTTTATGCCTATGATGATGTTAAATTTTTAATGTATTACATTCTAAAATACCTACTTTGCAAAGATAATTCTCATCTCTTTAATTGCGTCCTTGTTTGTATCAGCAGTGAAGTATACTTCATTCATATTTGAGAAAAAAGTACTGCTCACTCACATGTAAGAATATAGTTACAATTATTTTCCTGAAATGCCTTTGCTGTTAAACCTAAAAATTAGAAAAATTGTAATTTAGCTAATAAGAATTTCTGTTTTATATTTAAATGGACTCCAGAAGAAAAGGGAAAGTGATCCTAGAAACATTAAAAGTCAGTAATGCTTTAGCTAGTTTAATTAATAAATTTCATATATATTTCAAATTCCAAATTACAGTTTTTATTAAACTTTTGGTTCTCAAATGTATAATATATGACTCTCAAAAATAAAACTGAACAAAGAAATCTAATTTGTAATTTGTAACAGCATTTAATGTAATGTTGAATTCTAAGTAAATGATCCACATTCCATTTAATGTTATTTTCTACCCTAAACAGAAAATTTCAATTCATATTGATAAAGTGGTACTGAAGGCTTGCCAAATGCTGGGCTACATAAAAAGAATGTCCACCAACATCACAAATCCCAAATTGTCCGCCACATTGGTCATATATGAATTGTTGTATGAATCTCCAGTATGGTCTCTGTTTGAGAACAATATAAAAATAGAATCTGTTCAGCACATATTTTTAAATTTTGTGGCATGGAAGATGCTTTTGCTCCCATATAGAATTACTCACGACTGCAGCCCAATTGGATCTATACCAAGTATCAGTACGTTAAGGTCTCAGAGTTTATCGTAATTTATATTTTTTGTGCAACTTTATCAATGTTGACAACATTTATTTCTTTTTGTAGCTGTTTTTGGGGAAACTGCCTGCTAAAATAGAACTCAAGCTATTTTCCAGACACCACTAGGCTAACTCATTTTTGTTATGTGCCCCTGTAGAGGTTGTAATTATTTGTGAAAAATTTGAATGTGTACCAAAACTCCAGTTCTGTAAAATTCTTATAATTTTGCTTGGATACTATGTATTTAATGTTTTGTGTAATACTGTTTATCTTGTGTGTTCAATATGGTTTTGTGTATTTGGTATTTGGGGCTACTGCTGAGAATATTTATGGTTTTAGTAAAAGTTTCCTTTTGGGCAATTGCCTATTTTATAAATATATGTAAATGTGAATCTATAAAGCTGAAATGACCAACACTGAAACATAAATACCTACAAAAGTAAAAGCATTGAGAATGAAAAGAACCAAAGTCATAATAAAATTTTCAGGAGAGAAAAAACTAAGTTTAGACAATATTTGATACTTTAGAATGAAAAGAAACTGAGCAGGGATGAGATATCAATAACAAAATATTGATGTTAGCAAACATCCATGTTAAAAATACATCGACTAAAAGACATCAATGTGTTTCAACTGTGTTAGTAAACTCAAACATTAAATTTGTGCGCTCTAAAATTGAATTTGACAGTGTTCATGTTTATCAATTTGCCAAATAAGGGTAGGAGAAGAAGGGGCAAATCTTACGCCCATTGTGTATTTGTTGATCACATCTCAATCTGTGAAATGAATGTGAAAGAGGAATGATGAAATGTGAAAGAGGAAATACAAGGGCATGGAGGTCATCTCGGGCGAGACAGTTTGATCAATGAAAGTAGTACAAACAGTGTTCATTTGGTTCCAAGACATGAATGACAGTGTTACCATCAGTTATTATTTCATATTTTAACTTAAACAGTATTGTGATCACGGAAATTTTTTCATTCAAAAATAAAACATTGGAAAAGAAAAAAATATTGATCACAAAACATCAATGATAAAAAACATTGGTGTTAATATATAGATATTTAAAACATTGAAATCGATGTTACATCCCTAAAACTGAGTGGATGCAGTGCCATCTATTACTTAATCATACTACATACAGGAGCTACTATACACAGTTTCAGATTGAATGATGAGAAACCACCATTAAAAAATGTGACTTAGGTCTCCATCATTCTCAAAGCTTCAAATTATTTTAAAGTTATTTCTTACTTACTGTGTACTTGCTTTCTCCACATGCATGCCAAATTTCATAAAAGGTCACTACCTATTTCAGTACTAAACCTCTACAAAAAGACATTGCATTGCAAGCAAAAATTCTGAACCAAATTGGTCTAATTATTTTTTTCTCAATTCACATTACAACCTTAAAAAACATCTTTACTTACTGTTCTTATCTGTAAAAAGTCTCTGGGAACTCTGGGAAGAAAACAGAGGCCAATAGACAACAAAATATACAATATTTCAATGTTATTTTCTGTAACAATACTTCCAATATCATGCAAAATAGTTCTAGCTTTTAAAATATTCACTCTCAAATGTAACACATTCAAGACAGATCAATAATATTTTGAAGAAATAATTTAGCAGATTCTTTCTAATTTCATTCAACATCCTCTACCTGAGTTCACAGAATATAAATGCCTTTTCGACATAGCTCATTTTATTTTGCCATTTAAATTAACATTAATGATAAATAGTAGCATACCATCTGCATCATTCTCAATTTGATTATTAAACTCCCTCAGTCTGATATGTCTTCATTTAAATATTATATTTTTCAAAATGCCACAAAAAGAGATCTTCAAAATCAACATCTGTGCTGCCCCAAATTTCACTACCACAGCTAAATGTTATAACTATATCCAATTAACATACTTTATTAAAAATATATAACTTGTCATAGGACAATTCATCAATACTGGCAATAAAAGAAATTGCATTTCAAATTTGAAGAACAGAAATGACAAAACATTCGTGAAGTTTTCCTATTTTGAAATTTACCTTTTCAAAACAGTGTAACTTCTCCAAACACTTGTTCACATACACCCAAGCGTAAGTGAAAACTCCAAAATTAGCACATGATATAACAGTACTCTGGAAGTATTCCAAAGTGTACGTAACAGAATATGTATATCTTAGGCCTGTGTCGCATGAACTTTCAGTTGATGCTCTTCATAGAGTAACACTATTTTATGTGGAATGGCAAAAGTGCTTGTGTACCGTTTCATATAAAATAGTGTTATTCTACATGTGTTGCTTAATGCACATCAACGCAATGCTCATGAGCAGGAGCCTTTAGATAGAGACAGATCTACAGAAGAAAATTAGGGATCCCCCTCAATAAATTTGTATTTAGGAATTTCTTTAAAAAACATTAAACCTGACCTCAACTACAATTTACAAAGAAATACCAAATACATTCTCTAAAAACCCTGAATTCATTAGTAAGATTTTTTCTTTTTTTTTAAATTTTACACGAAATTGCAAGTCAAAGATAAATTCAAGTACTAAACAATTTTTTTTCTATCAACATTTGTTATGTTAGCAATGAAGTTAGTACAAAATATTTAAGAAAGGTTTAAAGGCTTTGCATAAATTTACATTCATTAAAACATGAAGATTGAACCAGAAGTTACTCTACAGCACTTCTTCAAAGTATAATTTTCAAGTATACAATTAAACAGCAAATAATGAAAAAAAATTTCAATTGTAGTCAAAAAATTTAGTATTGTAATTAATTTTATGATCTTTTGTATGGAAGTAATTTTTACTCATTTAGTATTGAGAAATGAATAATAAGTAGCAATAAAAATACATATGTTGGATGGAAAAGCCTTTATAAAAATTTAACCTCTCCCCCAAGATTCATCTCAGGATTATTACAGTTATAAAAGCTATTTCATGATAAACATTTCATATGATTACCTTTTTTGTACCTGTACCATTTCCCCTCAAAATGTAGTATTTTTTTATTTAATACCACAAAGAATTAAAGAACATGACAAGTATACATCCTTTATTCCCACAAACAATTGAATATGAAGAGAAGATAATATGTGTATAGTTGTTCCACGAAAAACACAAAAGTGCAGGTAAGGAATTCAATGGGAGAGTGAGTTTTAAAGAATTACTAAAGAAGTTTCAAATATGACAAATTTGTGTTACCAACTTGTGTACAAGAACCACTACCACTACAAGGAGTTAAAAACAAAACTAAGTTATTTGGATGATTAGTGGATTAAAAAGTGTTGAAATAAACTGTAGTCATATCTGTTAATTGAAATTCCTTTAAAACTTAGCCTACATTCAAAAGTAAAGATAAAAAATCATGTCAGTATTTTGATTTTTTCATTTCGAAATAATTTATTTCATTTTTCATAAATCCATTTCGATTTAATATTTAAAAAAATAATATTTTAAGAGAATTAGAAAGTTTCAGAAAGTTACGAGGGAAATGGGTGCAAGTAGGCAACATTTTCTCTTAAAACAGGTGTTTTATATTTTTCAAGATTTTCTTGTTCATACATCAATCACGAATTATTTCAAAACACAAAAATATCTCGTCCTTTTGAATTAGAAATGTTCATGAAAATTCATGAAATATACATTTCTAATTTATATTTGCTTAACAAGAGATGTTAATAAGTTTCTTTTCACATTGAGATTTTTGGTCTCTGCATGTATGTCATTTCCATTCTTCAAATTTATTTGGTATGTTAACAATCATTTAGAAAAGTCAATTTTCATGATTACTAAATGGCATTTTGAATGTTTTGGCCCACTTAAATTTTGTATATGCAGCACCAAATTCAGTGGATACTATATCTGTTTAAGAGACATTTGACAAATGCTAACATCTACATACATTAACCTCACTATATAATTTCTAACACAATGAACAACAAGCTGTATTTTAGGGACAACTGGAATTCGAGGGCAAAGCACATTTTAAAGAAGAATTTGAACACACCTATCTACAGGAACCTGACTACAATAGGTTTACATAAATTCACAGACAGATAAACAAAATTTATGGTTGTTTAAACACTGCAATGTCAAGCATTGTTTTTGAAATCCTATCCTTTCAAGCAAGATTTCTAGAATGAACATTAGCATCTGCACACAATACCTGTAAGTACAATAACTCAAAATTTTCTTCAAAGCCAATAATTATTTGGTAACTTTATTAAAAGATTGTGTAATGTAAATGAAGATCATAACTGCTGTTTCACCTCAATTCTTTTCTCTTTACAACACAAGATATTAAAAGAACAAGAAAGCCTTTTTGTAACAGAGTAAGACAGCTATGAAAAAATACAAAAGAAAATAAAGTACAAAGCATTTCATATTGATATAACCATCCATCTTAAAGCATCACAAATACAAACATGAATAAACATACACAGACATTAACTAAGATGGTTATTCACATTATTTTTTTTAATTTCTAGGATAAAATATCTAAATACAACGAAATTTACTTCTGACTGGTGTTATATGCAACATTACCAAGTCAAAAATTAATTCTCATAGGTTTAACAATGAGATTACTGAATGAGTGACACACAATAAATTTTACATAGAATATTATCCAACAGTAAATTTGGATAACAAAGAACATGCATTTGCTGTTTTTAACACAAGGTGATATCAGTAAAGGTAAATAGTCATTAACAGAAGCTCAATAATATTCATAATGTTATTTTTCTTCTTTTTCTGTTACAAGACTTTGCAGCTGTTATTCTGGCAGACATGTTGTCAGGGTTGTTCTCTAGAAATTGAGACCAGCCAAAAATTCTGACTAGGATCTACATCTTTGTGGAATTAATAATGCATTGTAATAATGTAACATATAATCTAACATCTGACTGGTGACAGCAGGTACGCCTTTGTACATTTCAATTCAAACTTGAAAGAATATAAAGTGTTAAAACTGAACCTAACATTTCTACAATAGTGGAATTGTACAACATCCAGACACACAGAATGGCAATACACTTGAATAAAATGGACAAACAGTAAATTTCTGAACTTGTACCATTGTGGCAGTTTGACACTATAGATCCTCATCAAGAAATTTCCTAATAATATTCTTACCCCAAATATAATTTTAGTCCATGTTAGTGATTTACACTTTCATTTTAATAGTAAATTCAGTTCAAAAGATTTCAAATATTCTTGGTTCAAGGACGATGTACAGTTTTCAAAAAATACCCTGATTCACTATTTTGAAAGTTGAACCTTCATGTTGACAGGGAGATTAAAGAATTAATAGTTATTTTTTCTAAAAAATACATTTATATTGAGGGAATTACAAAAATATGACAGTTATATAAATTCAAACTTTTTTGTAAACAGGCTTAATATGCCAGTTTGCCAGTTCAAAAGATATGTTTTATGTTGTTCACATTACACCTAAAATTTAGCACAGCTTGTCTGTTCACATAGAGTATTGCCATTATGTATGATGAAACAATAAAACATATTGGTCATAGAAGCTACTCCACAAGAAGTACACAAGTTTCTACAATAAAAGTTCAGTAAACGAAGTGATAATTTAACAGAAGAGATTAACACTAACTTAACATGTAGTTACTGTATACAATGTAAATGAAATTAAATGTATTTCAGTGTAGACTAAATATATAATATAATAAATTGAAAAAGTTTAAAAAAATATTTGGTGGAGGAGGCGCAGCACAATATGTATGGATTCATGGAATATATATCCCATAGAACCATGTTATTAACTCTTGGAACACAGAACATATTGGGAATAATTTCATTGCAATACTAAACATTGTCTGGATCCATTCACAGTGGCTGCCCATGTTTGTACAGTTATCTTCTGAAATCACTGAGGCACTCATGCCACATAGTAAGGGGAGTGGCCACTGAATCCAAAGCAGTAAACCATGTTGGCATTGAACAATTGCACCAACAGTTTGAGTCACACATTACTGGCGATCTATTGTTTGAAAAAACCACTCTGTGAACCGCCGCAGTTGTTGAGCTGCTGCTTGCGACTCCTCCTGGAGACGACGATTCTCGTCTCGGAGTCGCCGTACCTCTTCTTCTAAAGATAGGCGACGTCGAGTTTCTCTGGCAAGTCGTGCTTGCAATTCTGTCTGATGGTTGTGCAGCTCTGCTGTACGTCGGCTGCCACTAAATGAAAGAAACATATACATCCTGTTCAATGAAGTTGTTTGATGTTCTAACAATGATGGAATTCTCCAATAATTATAATTGCTGTAATATTGTCGGGGATTAGTGCAGGTTAGTGCACAAGCAACAGCAGTGATACAATAAGTATATATGTTTGGAAAATATGAATATACAAGTAAACATCTTGATAGAATAGACAATAAGAATGAATTATTTCATCACCAAAAGTGTAGTCATTCAGAGTAATGCACAAAAGATTATTTCGGTTGCCAATATGTAAAGTATACTTCTAGCTAATTTCATTTTCAGGTGTTTTGTTTTTGATTTAAATAAACGAACAATAACAGTAGTGATCACAGTGAATTAAATTCTATTTTCTTCCTCCATGGGCCAAGTGCAAGATTTGCACAAGAGTAATATTACTGACTTATTAAAACAGCCTTTTATATCAATGCCCATCCCAATGACGCAGGGAAATGATGTTAGCTCCAGTCACCAAGAACCATTTATTCAAATTCAAATATGTATCATCTATTTTCATCTTGTATCATGTCAAGGAAGGCAAAGGAATCCCAATTCATTTTCACATCAATTTCATTTGCTCATAAATTCTTTTGTGCTATGTGAAAAGCATTGCATCAGCTACACAGTCAACAAGTGTTACAGAAAATTTCCCTTTAGAAACTGTCATCAGATCTGCAACCAAAGAATACCAAATTGTATAATCATATTCTCGCTATTTCCGAAGAGAAGTGAAGAATAATAGTGATCATGAAGACGCCAAATTTAGACTCTCTGGAAAGCTGCTACTCACGAAGGGTTGTTGTCAAGACCAAGATGTTCTGCCATTTCATCAACCCAATGACCTAGAGCAGCATCACCATTACGTGCATTTTCAGGTAGAGTCGAGCCAGGATTGACAGGGGAAGGATCACCACTCTGAGACTGCATAAGAGATCGAGCTGCTGAATCCATCAGGCCAGGCCAGTCTGTTTCACGAGAATCTGGGATCTGCAGAGTTTCATGTCGAGAAAGCTCATGGCGTGATGTTCCAGCTGTGTTAGGGGATAACTTAGAATTTGGAGAAGATTTTGTGACACGTGGTGACAGCCTGCAAGAGAAAGTTTCTGTACTGCCTGTTCATATATTAAGAAACACATCTGTGTAAGAAAAAACTATCTCCACGTACCGTTCTTCTTTGGACATCTTGTTTTCACTTGGAGCAGGACTTGACGCAGTACTTGCATTTGAAATAACTGTAGCAGGTCTTGCCATAGTTAGGATTACATCTCCTCGTTCATTAGCACTGACATTGCCAACATTGTTTGTGTGTTGGTCTGAATGTGTGGAGGACAAAACACCAAGTGACATTAGAGTACTTCCATTGGTAGTGCACAGATTTTCACGAGAACGGGATCGAAGACAGTTCTCTGATGTAGCCAATCCATTAGCATTGGAGTTATTTGTGCAACTACTATATACTTTTCCCATTATGTTGCTGCTATGATTGTCCTGCAAAAACAAATTTTGAAGAATAGAAGAATAAAAATAGGAATCTTGAATCAGCATTTTTCTTTCAGCTTCATTTGCTTTTCAAATTCCTTAATTTTTTAGGATATTAAATTACATTCCAGAACAGAAAAACTTCTCACAGCAAACACCGTAGATGTGGTAATATTTACAAATTGACCAAAATATCAGAGTTCTTCTCTTTGTTGAAATTTGCCTCTGTTTTGGTCTATGTTCACACAACTCAAACTTCTAGTTGATACAAGTAAATTTATTCTCTTTGATCTTTATTTTCTTTAAATTTATTCTCAAAATCTCTAGAATATTCCAGAGATTTCACAGTACACTTAATCACAGATTCAATTGAAAAAGCAAATAATTTGCACATCAATGAATCATTTCAAGGATCTGTTATATTTTGTGCATCCATAGACCATATGTGGTGAATAGAATTTTTTCCCCCTTTTTTCTTTTCCATATTTTTTCTCCACAATCTACAATGTTTTGTTGTTGTTTTTTTCCTACACATCATAGACACAAATGAAAAAAGAGCACTATATTTGCCACTTTTAGTCAAAAACGTTCTATTTCTTTCCTTCTTAATGCAACATTTCAGAAGAGACGCTTAACAAATCTTTAATTTTAGAATACGTTTTCAACAAGATTACCAATGCAAGTTGCCACCACTCACTTTTGTGTTGATAATTGCCGATTCTTCCCGTTCAGACATATAATCTGGATTAATCAGGCGCATTAAGTCTTCTTGTAGAGTACTCGATGCCAAATTTGCACTATTTCGGTTTGATGCAGAGCGTGGCGTAACACCAGGACGCAACCGAGCTTCTCCCATATCGCGACTAGCAGGGCGAGGACTCTGATTGCGGCTACTCCCACTTGAAGGAGTCAGAGTCCCTGCACCAGTTCCAGAACTTGGACCAAGGGTGGTTGGTTTGCTAGATCTGCGTAGCCTTGGAGACACATTACTGCTACCAGCTGACAGTTCATCTAAAATACAGAAACAATTAATTTCAAAAATAAACAGTGAAATAGTTTTAAAATACATTTAACTGAAAGTTAATTAACTTTAAGTTAAACAATAATTTATGGAACAAGAGAATAAAATAATACTTTATTTAAGACTGAATATTGACAGGAAGCGTCAAAGAAGTAATGGGTGCTAATTTTCACAAGTCAATAAAATAAATTTACTCACAAGTGGATATATGTTTTTATCAATTACCTATATGCAGTCAGAAGGTTACTTTTAATCATATTTCTAAATTATTTACATTTCACAAACATCATCTTGTACATTAATAAGGTTGCTGCCGAACTGGCATAAACAAGTTGACATACTTTGAATTCCGTTAAAATTCAGTTGTGCAATAATTCTTTACTTCATGAGATCTAAATTGGATGGAGTTCTACATCAACAAACTAAACAACAATTTCATGAACATTTTTATCGCTTCTGGTGAGTTGGAGGAAGAAGTAGACCTATGCAAAATATCAGCAATTTTTCTTTTCAATTAGTATTAAAGAGCAGCACACCACAGAATACATAAGATTCCTAAATTTCACAAATGCTAAGTGCAAAAGTGCAATCAAGAATGTTGCTTGGGCATTAGATGTGCAATGTGGTTAAATTAAAAACGGACAAACTTACATTTTTGTTAAGAGAGAAAATTAATTAGCTGAAGTTAATGGAGGCAACGTAAGTAATTTCAAGTTCTGTGAATTCCGTATACCACTGAATTTCAAGAGAATTTGGGATAGCTTAGATACTGAGCATACCTTCACTGGGAGCACCAACCATCCTATCACTTGCAGAACTTGTATCAGTAGAATGACCATCTGACAAAGTCAGCCCGCGAACAGCACATTCTGGAGGAAGACTTGAAGATTTTCCGAGCTCGCCAGAATGTTGATGATTATTATAGTCAGTTATCTGTCAGAAACAAATATCAAGAGAGTATTTAGAAATTAATTATATTTATAATTCATGTAAAATAAAATTAATACTGAAATTGTTGCTGATGTAATGACACAAAATTCCTACACACAACTAAATTAATAATAACAACAACAATAACAATGATAATAATAATAATAATAATAATAATAATAATAATAATAATAATAATAATAATAATAATTAGTAATAATAATACATTTCACAACAAATAATGTTAAGAATTGCCCCATTTCCAGATGCTGATTTTCCCAAAATAATATACTGTAGATTTAATTTCAACACAAGAGTATACAAGGTTTATAATTTGTTTAGAAATTTTGTTGCTGAACTCTAAATACCCACCTTTGGTATTCGAGCAGATAGATAATCCAGAGCAGGTTGACGTTCCGAGTGACGAGGCCCAGGCCTTGCATCAGAATTACCATTTGGTGTCTTCAAATGGGAAACTTTGTCCCCCAATTTGAAATCGTGAGAATACTGTGAGTTTCCCAATGCCTCATATTCCTCTGCATAACGTGAAGTCAGTGGAAGAGAAAAACTAGCATGAGGAAGAGGAAGTGAATGTGACACCTGAACCTTGGGATGAAGGGAAGTATGTACAGGGTTCAGTCCCGAGACAGGTTCTTCCATGGCGCCAGGCACTCCACCTCCTCGCCTTTTAGGAGCCACTTGCTGGAAAGCACTACTTCCACCTGAACCAAGACGAGCAGGTAGTGGAGGTGGTGGTGAATCTCTTACAGCAGGATCACGGACTCCTGAGTCACGCACTGCAGGATCCAGGTCAGCAGGATCCAACAGTTCATACCAGCGATCATCACTTGAGTGGCCACTTGATGAACTGGTCATTGTTCCCTGGGAAGAGCAAACATTAAATGCTTATTATCTCCACACAAGTTTGTAAAAATGAATTAAAGGAATTCATATTAATTTTCCTTTTTTCCATTCCAAATTTATTTCCAATTTATTCAAAATATATTCATGGGCCATGTTTTGGCTAAATATTACAATTATTTTTCAATACATGTACACTTATTACAACAAAATAAATATATTTAACTGGATTGTGTAAAGAAGTTGAAACTAGTCATCTAAAATAAATAATACAGAAAAAGAATTTACTAAACTCTCATGCAAATAAGAAAATGAGAAAGAACTACAATTATGTTATTAAAGCAATTTATGGTCCACTTCTCGGAAATGTTCTACATCATTATCACTTTTATATTAAAAATACTCACCTCAGGATTAGAGGAAAATCTGGTGTCTGTTCCTGTAAATGACTTGCTACTGCTTCCTGTTCCATAACCTGAACTGCTACTAGAACGAGGGGGAGAAAAATTCCTTCCATATTCATCATAACGTCTATGATTTCCTGGAACTGCCTGCTGGAAAGCAGGCAATTTTCCTGAGAGTTTACATGAACTTTCTTCAGGGCTTGATAAGTTTTCATAATCTCCTTCATAATTTCCAGTAGTGTATTTACAGTTCTGAAGATTACATCCTCTATGAAAATGAAATGAAATTTAAAAAATTAATAAGAACATTAATACAATACAATAGCTGAATAAATTACACACAATTAAAATTTGTAAAATTGGAAGAAGGAAACAGTCAAATTGAGGAAATCAAAATATCTAGTGTTCATGTCATATCACAATCAAGCAATTCCTTTGTTTACAGAATGCTGTATAATGCCTGCATCTAGTTACAATGTGCCTCTTAAATATCCTCCTTTGCCAAATACCAATTAAATCACACTCTGAGAACCCATTGTCTGTGAGTGATATTTATGCAAGTAGCTAATTTATTTAACACAAGTAGATATTGCTATGTAGGATGAATATTTAAAATAAATAATTGAAAACCACAATTTAAGGGGCAAGACAAACATTTTCTACTCACCTCCTTGGGGTACCATCAACATGTGGTGGAATTACCATCACTGTCACCAAGAGGGAGGTTTTCAATAAATCCACCATTTGGTCATGGGAAAGAGTAGAAACAGCAATTTTGCATATCTGGAATAGAGAGTGTACAATTATGATAAAGAATGCTTTCATGTAATTTCATTTCACAGCACATTGGTACTCACAATCTCAATCTATAGAGAATGCCTCCGTTAAGTATAGCAATGCCGGGATGTGCAAAGAAATAAACGATATATTTCAATTAATAAATGTTTCTGTATCAGTGTACCATAATTACTAGAGTGTCTCTCTGTATCTCAAAGAGATCAGAACTAAAGAATGCATAAAGATAGAAACAAATGTAATACAGTAAATAAGTAAGAAAGCATCTAACTCTATTACCTCAACAAGTCGTGCACCCTGTCGAAGACCAGCTTGCCAAGCAAGGCCCATGCCTTCTACTTGTGTAACCATGCCATCAGGTTGGACGTGAAACCCCAACTGACCCATAGGATTGCGTCGTAATGAGAGTTCTTGGGAAGCACAACCTTCAGTTACAGCACGAAGTCTGACAACTACTTCCATTAATTCATCCCTTTCTCCAGCTTCTCGCATATGCATGGTCACACATTCTCCCTGATGATGATATATCCGCAGACTGGAATGTATGAAATTGTGAAACTAAGACTATAAAGAGCAAACATCATAAAGATAAAGGCTTCTCTGGAACACATTCATGAGAAAACCCAAGATCAATTGGGGATTGTTTCCTTGCAGCCAATCCACATGACAGAGATTGTCACCATTAAATATTAAGTGTAAGTAAAAAGAAACTTCAGCCACTTGTGAGCTTCTAAAACTTTCTTTGCACCCAATAATCAAGAAGCAGAGTAGTCCTTTTAATAGGTTTAGGCAGGACACAAATTCCTGCTTCAACCCTATACCAAATAGAAGAGTACTGTTCCAAGAGACGTATCAGTCTTCGAAGCATGATTGAAATGTTTTACTAGTTCTAGTTTAAAAAAATTATTCAGAAATATTCAAGAGCAATAAAATGTTTTAGACATACCTATTAGTTTGTGCACACCATCCCAGAATTGATTTGCAAGGAGTTACGAACACTATTTCACGAGTTCGTTCTTCTATAAGCACAAAAGAGTCTGCTGAAATGCCTAGGAAACATTCCACAAGACATGCTTGGCTACTGTCATCAAGCAACACTTGCCACGAGATTGCACCTCTCTGAGATGCATCAGGTAACATGCGAGGTCGACCTCTTTCTTTTTTCTTGCTGCTGAAGGACATTATTGCTGGGAAAAAAATTTAAAAAAATAAAAAGTCAGGAATAATAAATTTTCCTATTTCACAACTGTACATTAATGGAGGGATTAACTATGTAATTATTTCATTCATTTAACTTACAGAACTTTTGTCCAGTTTCTACAATAGCACTGGTGGTATAATTTGTTGCAAGATCTTTCAAATACTCTTGTCTTGTTCGAGTTGCCATTGTGGCAAATTTCTCTGATCGATGGGCAGCATTTTCTGCATTAATAACTGGAACAGACAATGGGATATGAGAACAGATGAGTACAAAGACAAATGAATGTTCTCTCCCGATTGTTTCAAAATACCTTTGGCAAGAAGAAAATCTGCGAAGGCTTTGGACTTTGGAAACATTGCTCCATCATGTATTGGAGGCCCAAATATTGGGACTTCCTTCGATCGACTCACAGCAACACTAGGTAAGTAAAAACAAAACAATAATAATTACGATCATTGAAAGAATAAAATAAGAATTGTGACATGCTTAATGAGACACTAAATAACGAACTTGAAAGATACACAATATGCAATTTTGTAATTATCATCATTCTAAATACCACCAATATTTTGATACCTGTATTGAGTGTTTTCTGAGCATGGATTAATGGCCCGCACAACAATAAATACATGTTGAAATTGGGACCTTATATTCTTTGGTGTGAAAGGTTGAGCACCTGGTTCTTGAAAGACAATTGTCACTATATCATTACCAATGTGACGTTTTCTCAATAGCTGCAATGAAAAAGAAAGTTTAATTTGTTTTAACAATTATCTAATTAACTTTTGAATTAAGGTGAACCATGGAAGCTGAACAAAAGGTGTAAAAACATTACCTGCTGCCTGTTATTAGGTGTGAAAGGCAACATTGTTGAGACATGAAACATAATTTCGCAGTCCTGATACTGGGCATAAACCGAGTACAATCCAGTTGAATCGGCTAGAAAAGAAGCAACAATAATAATTGTGATGTGTGATGTGATTAGAAGATTTTTAATATTTTTTTTAAAAAAGAAAATATCCATCAATGAGTAATAAAGAGTTCAAATTTATTAGTTTACTCACTCTTATTGTCAAGCCCTGCTTTGTACTTATCAAAGCCTTTGAGGCGAACTCGCTGGCCAATGGAATCCAGAAACTCCCGGAAAGCAGGGCCTGCATCTTCATTATTATACATATCTTCTTCTGACGCTTGTCCTGCACGACAATAGAGAACTCCAACTTTGTAATGATTTGTCAGTCCTTGTTCATCTAATTTTAGGAGTTGTTCCTCAGTTTGAGCAGAATGAATTCCAAGTCGCAAACTAAAATAACATAACATAATTCAATGGCAAATGACATCTTCAAATAAAGCAAACAAAAATGTACTTTTTTGAACCAATATAAATCATACCATGATATTTGCAATTCAGGAGCAATATACTCCAATACTTCCTTAGTATTCATTCCTTTGTTACTGTTAGAGGCTTTTAAATTAGGTACAGCATCCTCCAGGATAGAACCACGAAGTGTCAGAAGCTACAAAATTAAGAAACACATTTCAAAATAAAGGACATCACTGAAAGAAACTTACATTAGCAATGTATGTAAACATCATTAAAAGATATATTATACTCCTAGTTAGAGATAAGTACTATGTTGAAATGGTATAACAACATCACAAATATTCAGTACAAAAGATTTACTTTATTATTTATTATTTAGTTATTTATTTATGTTTAAAAGTCAAATAAGAGTATTCTTATTTGTCTGTTGAAGAAATATCACCATGTTCATTTATATTCCAAAATTCTTTTAATTTTCTGAATGTTAAACATGAATTTGGGTGGCATTACAAATTATGGGTTGTTTTTCAACTTCTTGAAAACTCAATATCAAAACGTGAATTTCAATCATCACATCCTCTACCTAAGGAAATCATTTATTATATTATACCATACCTCACTGGTTCGAATAATAAGCCTGTATTGGGCAATTTGTCCACTATTACTACTGCTGCTACTGCTTGCATTGCCATCATTCCTGTCAATTCTTTCTTTTTTAATGCTAATAGCAACTGGTCCCAAGTTCTCATCCATGCCAAACCAGTTCTGATGATCTGGAAAAGGTAAAATTAGCAAATTAGCAAAATAGTGATTTCTCTTTCTTCGAACTAAAATAAGCCACCTTCTCTCACTCCGAACTCTGAGGGCACACGGCCATGGATCGCTAAAAGTGAAAGGGACACCAAAGGTATTTCACGCTTGCCAAAGTGCCAAGACAAGAGGTGGTGTTTACAGATATGGGTTGGGAGTTAAGCTAAAGACCCTCTAAAGGTTTAACTGACTGTTAAACTGATAATGAAATGAAGTAGCAGAATAGAGAACAATCCATTATATTTAATACTACCAATAGAACTTCTAAAACTATAAATATTATTTAATCAATTCACAATCTAAAGAATAGTGGCTAAAACGTACCTTGTCCATGGAAGTACTTGCGATAATACAAAGCACCTTGATCCACACTTTCAATAGCCCTTGCAGGACGCTGATATGGACATGTACCATGTCTCCAGTGAGTATCTCCAACAGGAAACTCAAGCACTGATACACCATATGCCAAAGAAGGCCGATGCTGAGGTCTGCGTTGTCGGTGTTGATTTGTAAGCAATGGGCGGCCATGGCCATGATTTCCCAGAGCTATATCAGATGCATTACTTGACGAGCCTGGAGGCACAGCACCTGCAGCTCCATTGTTCATTCTCGTCAAACTCACTATTCTCTCTTCTTCTCCTCCAATTTCATTGCGAAAGAAAGGACAACTGCAAGCAAGATTTTTTTAAAGTTCTCACATATAACAACCACGACAATAATAATAATAATAATAATAATAATAATAATAATAATAATAATAATAATAATAAATAATGATAATAATAATAATAATAATAATAATAATAATATAATAATAATAATAATAATAATAATAATAATAATATAATAATAATAATAATAATATAATAATAATAAATAATAATAATAATAATATATAACTATAATAATATAATAATAATAATATAATAATCATAATAATAATAAAATATTATCATACAATATCAATAATAATAATAATAAGTAAATATATAATAATAATAATAATATAATATAATAATAATAATAATATAAATAATGAATAAATTTTTTCTGTGGACTCATTCAAGATAACCAATCTGCGCCTTATGAAGTCGCTAACTCAGTGGAACTTCAGTAAAGTGACGAGAGACCTAAATAATATTAGAGGAGTGATCCCGAAGAGTGGCAGTTCGGGTCATCTATGTATGAGTGTATTGCAGACTGGATGATAGAATCTGAAAGGGATCGTTATATATATAGATCATTATCTATATATATATAATGTTTGAATACATGCCGTATTGTCAGAAAGCCCATCTGAACCTTCAGTACAAGCAACCACACACTGGTCAATCATCACCCTGTGTGTGGTACATACCGACAGTAGATACTGTGAATAATGTAAGATAATAATAATAATAATAATAATAATAATAATAATAATAATAATAATAATAATAATAATAAGGGAACAGATTTATATGTATTTACATATAACACTATTTATGCAACTTAATTTATTTGTTTCAAGACATTCTCAAACAAAATAAAACATTTTTAATATTATCTGATTATATTTTGATGTGTGTACAACTTTTTACATATTTTATCTATCTCTTCAAATATTTTACACTATTTACTATATTTTTGTGTACAGAATGAATATATAAAAGATAAGCTTTGAATGTTACAAAGAAAACATCGGGTTTATTCTTTATCAACAATGATCTGAAAGTTTTTGATGGAGAGATATCCTACTGTACTTAGGAGAGTGTGAATTGATCCACCACTTCCTCTGCACATTTCTTGCAAGTCACATGGAGTGTAGATGGGAAGACTCAACTCAGTTTCACTGATAACATGAATTTCACAAAAGAAGTAAAATCTTTGAGAAAAAATTTAGTTGGAGAGAAGTGCAAATCACTGCTGACATCTATATTGGAAAAGACATTATCAAAACCCAGCAGTTGAGCAAAATCAACAGCAATAATAACTTTTCAAATATGCTCCTAATACCTCCGTAATCGATACAGTAATTCCACTGGTAAAAACTCACTTTAACCCGGGAGAGGTGGTTCAAGATCTGTGTGGCCCTGCATATCTTTAATAAGTTGTAGTTTCAGTATTTTACGAGTAAAAAACTTTACATTCCTCACATCTTTCACCACATCTGTTATCTTTAATGTGAATACAGTAAGAACTTCACACAAGAGTGCAGAGAATGAGTCATTGTTGTTAAGCCCTGTCACAAGAATGTTCCATTTGACCCAGCGGCACCAGTTTATTTGGAGCTATGCAAGGAGAGTCGTCCCAGTACTTCAATTACAAGTAGTTATGTTATTGCATGAAAACTTTTCTTTGTGGCATTTTTGTTGTAATAACTTATTCAGTGCCGGTGCTAAGCATGGGCAGATAGGGTAGAAGCCCGAGCCCCGCAAGTCAAGGGGCCTGATGGGAAAAATTAGTAAAATATTTACAAAGCAATTAGAACACAAGATCGTAATTTTATAAGTCGCGGTACAGTTGTCTGATATTTCATAACATTTTCATTAATTTTTTACATTTTAAACATTTTCAAAAAAAATTACATTACAGTATTAAAAAGATTTAATTTTTAAGAACAGACATAATTAAGAAAGTATATCTATCTTCAATATTATAACTTTTGGAAGACCTTTCGCGATTTTCGAAAATTCAGCAAGTTTAATGAAAATGGGTCATGTGACATTTTTACTCGTATAAGAATATTTTGCTCTACCAGAGAAAAAATTAATCCAAAAGTTTGGAGACCCTTTGAGATATTTTAACAGTCATACACGAATCCTGTAAAGCGGTACGCACGCACGCACGCACGCACACCTCAAAATATTCGTTTCAAATTTTTAGGGTAGATCGATCATAGAACGTCCACTTTGGAGAACATCTTAACGGTTTCGACACTGGTCTCTCGGCGGGCGGATTCTGATCATCCAACGTATTTGGCGGGCGGCTCGTGGTTCGGAGCCCAGAAGTTCGCCCGCGAGCTACATTGTGCCGTGTCGGGGAAGGATGCACGTCCGCGGCCAGGAGAATGTCTTCGGGAGAGAAGCGAGGGATGCGGGTGAACGAGCGCAGCAACTGAAGATACATTTTCCGAGCTGGTAGGTCGTGGTCGAGTTCGCATTAAAGGGCCAAACGTTCCGTTCACGTCTGCGGTGGACATCCTCAGTGGCGGCAGGGTCGCGAGCGCCTACCAGCCCGGAAAATTTATCTTCTATTGACTCCGTCAGTGAAAGCATACGATGCTGTATGAACACAGCAATTGGCTCCGGGGTGCATGACGCTCAAGCAGCAAGAACTATCTTTCGCTTTCAGGCCTTCGTAGGAGACGGGGGAATACAATTCGAAAGCAATATATTAGGTTATTTTTTTTTTAAGACGAGGGATAATGATATTAAACTTGCAAATAATTTCGCATAGACATCGACAATCATATCACAATTGCGTTGTGATAATGAATATTTGCAGACTGAGACGAATTTCAAGGCAATCTGCAAAAGGTTTATTAGTACTTAAAGAAATTTCAAAAACTTTTGTTAAATTAAAAATGTATTTGAATTTATAATTAAAATGTCAAAAAATTTTACAGTTTTTATTTAAAAAAGTATGAAGTTGCGATGCTATGTTAAGATACAATGTGGTGTAGGAACCAAAGTTTTATATTATTTCGCATTTTTCTGTCTTGCCCGGTAAGACTATTTTCTGAAAATGATAAACTACTGTATTACAATGTGAAATTTGCACGTTTTTTCTTTACACGTAAATTGGTAGAGAAAAGTTTGTATAATTTAATAAATGACACTTTGAAAAGAAGTGTCACTTTGAAAGAAAAAACGCATTTTGAGCCCAATTTTCAGTTTCTTCTCATTGAGAACGTCTTGTTGCCAATTCACAGAAGTTAAAGCATCAATGGCACCAATTTTCATTTGAGAAATTAAAATTTTAAAAAACAACTTCCATAATTTACTCCCTGATTATTTTATGTTATAATACATTAATTAAAGAATATGATTTACCCTTTTACATATATTTTCTTTGTAATACATAAAATCCGCTCCCTAATAATAGCAAATGCAACCTATTTTAATAACGGATTCAAGACATTCAAAATTCCTAAAGTAATTAACCTTAATTATTGATTAGAAATAAGAAAACTAAGCATATCGGGAAAAAATCAATACCCTGAATAGACAATAGACACCATAAAACAAGGAGAAGAGAGTAAAGAAAGCGGCATTTAACACCTCCCTCGATCAGATTTTTCAAATAAAATTACACACTTCCTTCAGAGAAGAAATTACAGTACAGCAAGTTAAAATAGTACACATTTCAAAACGGAAGAGTTTAAGTGAAGAGCGGCAATTTAAAAAAGCAGAGCGCAGAGACGGCAGAGCGCCGGGAGGCGGCGTACCTCTCGAGCAGGTCGTTGCCGCGCCCGTCGCCCGGGTCGTCGTCGCCGCTGTCGCCGCCGTCGGGGGTGGCGGAGCGGCCCGCGCTCAGCATGGAGGCCGCCGAGGCGCCCGTCGTGGTGTTGCGGCGGCGCGCCAAGCAGTGCACCCGCGCAGCTTGGCGGCGTAGCCCAAGGTTGGCCGTGAGCGACTGCAGTCGTAGTGGGCGAAAGGCGCGGCGCCGCTGCCGCTCCTCCACCTCGGCGGCCGTGGAGGGCGCGCACGCCATCAGCCCCGGCGGCCCCGCCCCCGCCGCGCCCCGCCGACGGCCCCGCGCCCGTCGCGCTCGTCGCCCGCCCTGGAAAGAACCGCACTCGCATCACGCGGCCCGCGCTTGGCGCTCGAGCCCTCCAGTTGCCTGTAATACATCGGTGTGTGTGTGTGTGTGTGTGTGTGTGTGCGCGCGCGCGCGCGCGCGCGCGTGAGGCGTAGGTGGGGAGACGGCGAAGATCAGGAAGAGGGAGAGGGCGAGGGGAGGACGTAGGTGAGGCAGAGGGAGCCAGCGTAGGTGTGTGGGTGTGTGAATGATTGAAATTGTTAATGGATGGGTATGTGTGTGGAGAGGTGGGTAGATGGTACGTTCGTATTTTGATAAGAAGGTAAGTGTTGGTGTGGGAATGTTTACAGGGATGCGAGTATCTGTGCGTGTGTGGTCATCCTTGCTCCTCGATTATTCTAGGAAGCATCGGGCTCTGTCTCGATTTGTGGAATCGTCAAAAAAGCGCTGCGAGGATGGAAGATGAAATAACGAAACACAGTGAAATGTGCTCTTAATACCGGTCGAAGGGGATTTACTTGTTTCAGAAAACAACCGAAGATTTTAATGCCTTTTGAAATAAACTTTTCTCGTTCTGCAGCATTCTCGTGAAGTTTACTGACGTTTGCTCTGCTTTCCCTCTGGGAACTTGTCTAGGGCTCGCGGAGGAAGCCGCGTGCGAAACTGATCTGAAAGGCATTCGCTCATTCGTCTGACGGCTCTGTTCTAAAATTTCTACATGATTCGAATTGAATCTTCTACGTCTAGTGTACATGTGACTTTGGATATGTAAGCACGTGAAAATAATTTCTCGTGTTCGAGAATGAGTGACAAATCAATGGTGTGTGGCATTACCAGAGAGGGAGCAAGTAATCTTAGATCCCTGTTTAATGTGGATTTTGAAGTTTTCAGGTAATTAAAACTATTTTTGACAAGTATTTCATTTCATAAAAATTAACACAATGTTTCTAGTAATCGGATAACCTTATTAAGCGACCACCTCAGTAAACGGGCAATTTTGGACGTAACCGTTTGTGCCTGCTGAAGACTCATTTCATTCAACCTTTTTCGATATATGCAAATGTAAATAAAAATTATTTTATTTCAAACAATAGGGCAAAAAACAAAAGCTGATGTTTATACTCGTGTACTGTCTGAAAAGACAATGAATACTTCTGTTATGTGAATTAATATTTCTCGTAACTAACGTGTGTTAATCATATTTTCCTTTATCTTTACTCTCCAATGAATATGTGAGGTCGTTGAGGAAGGAATCTCACTCTACCCAGGATTTCACACGAATATTTTGGTTAAATAGTCTTTAATCTAATAAAAATTATTTTCGTATTAAAGGAGCCAAACAATTCTTTCTCTTCAAGAAAATGTTCATCGTAAAGAAGACAGTTGACGTATCTCGTCCGCCTTCCCCATGGATCCGTCCCTGAGGTGAGGTACAACAAGTGCAGGCACCGCTCAACAAATAATCGATACGAGGTACCAGTTATGCCGCTGACGCGTAGGTGCGTCTTCTGACGTGTACGTGGGCGGTGGGCTTCGCTGGAGACTCCATTGGGCACTGCTGTGGGACACTTGCTATTGGTTGCGCGCGGCCCGTTCGCCACTTGCGCTTGCCGGCTGCCGGGCCGGCAAGGCGTCCCGGGCGGCTGCCACCACTCGGCGCACTTCGTGTGCCGTTTTGGCCGCCGGCTCCCGAGGCCGCGGCGCGGCTTGCGGGCTTGCTGCTTTTTTTGCCTTGTTTGGCTTTCTGTTCCGCCGCTGGCACTGGGCCGTCTTGCCGGTGCCGCTTGCCTGCCGCCCTTTGCGTGGCGTTTCTTTGCCTGCTTGTTCTTCTTTTTTTGCTCCAGTATGAGCGTGTGCGGTTTCAGACGCAACTTGGGGCTAGTAGTGGAGGGCGGGGGCCCGGAGGGCGTGGACATAACGCCGCTGCCGTCCTCAGTGCCGGCTGTCAGCGCGTTGGCCGCGTTCTCAGAAGCCGGCGCGGGCTCGAGTTTGCCGCGCAAATACTCCGCCGGCCCCGGACTGCGCTGATCGGCCCCGAGTAGTCCTAGTACTGCGGGCCGGTAGTCCTAGGGCACAACACACACCGTGAGCGCCGCCCTCGCCTCTTGCCCAGGCAAACAATCCTCGACCCGCGTTCTCGGCAGGCTTTCTACCAGGGGTATAACAAAGATTTTTAAATAAAATTCCAAGACAAATCCCGCTCACCCCCTATTCTTACGAAATTCACTATCATTTTTCCATACAGATATAATGTATCATATATGAGGTGCTGCCCAAAATATGAGAGAATTTCATTGTTCCGACCAAATCCGTAGCAGTACGACATTGCGATGGCAGATATGTCTAGGAACATGTCTAAGCTACTGAGATGCGAAGTTGCGTCATTTTTGGCGCATCCAGTTGTGAAATAGAACGGTGCGTATCAGGACGCGTTTCAGTGCTTCTGCGAATTGCCAAATGGATAACGAAGGAGAAACGGATTGGCGTCAAATTCTGTTTCAAGTTGAAGAAAAATGCAGCTCAAACCCACCGTGTGCTGACAAGCGGCATTTGCTGAGAGTGAACTGAATCAAGCAAAACATATTGAGTGGGTCAGACGCTTCAAGGAAGACTGAAAATCTGTAGAGGAGAAACATTCAGGTCGACCGTCAATGCACACCGGAAATGATCAGAGTGCGTGAATGATGAATAAGGAGTTTGTCACACTTGGTCAGACTATCAACGGGCAGTTTACTGCGAGGTTTTCAGGCGACTGAGGAAAAATGTCCTGTGCAAACGACCAAACTTGTAGAAAAAGAAAGAGTGGTTGGCGCACCAAGATTATACTACATGCCGCATCTCACAGGAACAAGTAGAAGCCATTCATCTTATCGTCTCAGCTTGCCCAATTCTAGCAAAGACTGAATACTTTAAAATACACGACAGGGTGTGTTGTTACCTCCACTGGCAGATCTGTACTGTCCTCGAAGTTCCAAACACATGCCCCAAGTAGTATGAACACTCAGCAAAACCGGTGGTATCCGTTGGACTCTAAACAATATTGTACGACCAACGGATCGCACGATAGCAGCAAACAAAAGCGAATATTGTTATCCGGGATTTGGAAAACCAGGCGTGTCTACTTGTAGATACTGTGCCTTGCGATCAAAACGTCGTAACTAAGGAGGCAGAGAAACATCTTAAATACAAGAGTTTGGAAATCGAGATCAGTCGAATGTGGGGCGTAAAAGCACAGGTCGTCATCGGAGCTCTTGGATTTGTTCCGTAAAATTAGTGTAAGAATTTGGCTTAGCTCCAACGTCTTTCAAAAGACTGGGAAGTACAAGAAATTACTTTACTTGGAACAGCCCACATTTTGCGCAAAGTATCGTAGAGGCACCGACAGTCCCTATACCTGCTCCTTAGGTAGCTGGTTGCAACCTGGAGTAGATTTTATATTCAGCTACTCGTAGCATCTTTAGTCGTGATATAGAGGAAAAATAATAATAAAAATAATCATTTCACCCCATCCCCCAGTGTTTAACACCTTGGGGTATGAAAATGGAATCGGCATTAAATCCTGATCCTCGCATGTAGAAATAACGAGCACAATCCCGATAATTATGCCTGAGCCCTGTCGGGATGCGCGCCTCGCTGCCCCATGACGGCCGATTCGCGAAACAAAAAATAATAATTATACCATTAGTTTATTAGTATTATGGTTTAATAGGTTATTAGTCGAAACGGCATGACAAACAAGTAATAACTGAGTTTCAAAATATATTTTAAAATAAACCATCAAATTTCATTGTAACAACTCGTCCTTTGATGGAAAAGTTTTACAAGATTGCATTGTGTGCTTCCGGGGGAATGAGAATAGTTGTCTTTTTTCATCATTTCTGAATGAAAGTAGGCAACTAATTGATGAATAGATATTCAAAAGTCCTTTGTTATCATTGGCAGCTTATCTGATATTTACGTTCCAAAAGTGACACACTCTTGTGAACAGCATTTTGACTATTCGCCAAGGCAGCTACGGAAGGTGAGCGATAAGCGAGGCAGCGGAGGCGGAAGGGCGAGCAGGCGATTGCAGAATATCCACGCGCGCACGACAGCGCCCCCCCCCCCCTGCGGCGGAGCGTCTTCGCCTCTTGCCATTCGCAAGCCTCCGGCGCTCAAAAATAACGCGCTACGCGCCATGGGACGCGGCGCTGACCTCCGCCTCACAAGTTACAAAGCGAAGCTGCAGGGCGCGGCGGGGGGCGCGGCGGGGGCGCAAGCTGCTCGACCGCGTGCAGCGGACATGGCCATTTGCACGTCACTTCCGCGCGCGCGGGGAGGGTCGATGCATGGCGACTCTGCAGCTGGAGAGGGCGAGATTTGGTTTCATCTTCACTCATTCGTATATTAAAAAAGAACTGGGACATAAGTGTTACCCGCGCAGGTTTAGATTTATTTAGTCAAAAAAAAGTAAAACTGAATGTGACGTATGGGGAGAACATCATCTGCGCACGTTTTCTTGAGTTCCAGAATCCCATCCCAGCATTTTAAACTATAAATAGTTGAAAAATGAGTAAAGTTAAAGATAAATAAATAAAAATAAAATAAAAAAAAAAACACACGAGATTGGCAACATTTGAAAACTAGACATTTTTGTTCCCAAGTTATAGAAAACTTATTTGCAACGGTAAACGAACTGCAGGTGTGATTTTTCTGCATTGATAATAAAATAGTAACTCACCCTTACCTCTACTTCTACCTATCATTACAAGCAAAAGGAGAGTTTAACAAAACGTGCGCATAGAGAAGCTACATATACGTCCAAAAGCAAAACAAGGGGCCATCTCAGCATTTGCTCAACGGATCAAAGAAACATTACTTGTTACAAGCATATTAAGTCTTGAAAAAAAATACAATACACATGTAATCGAATTCATTATATATTACTATTTTGGTAAAAATAAATATTATTTTTATTTTTGATGATCAGGATAGTCTCTAATTG